AGCAAGCCTCATGTTTTCGCTTCAGTGCATGGCTGCCGGCCGCCATCTTGGCTGACAGTTAATTTGCATAAGGATATGCTGATTAGCCAATGGGAAGGGTAGCGGTCGTACGCTAATTACCATGTTTCTCTTTTATTAGTGTAGATGAGAGGGAAATTTAGACACAGACACACACAGAGGGAAGACACCCATGTGAGGACAGAAGCAGAGATTGGAGTGATGCATCCATGAGCCTGGGAATGCCAACAACTGAGAGCAAGCTCAAGCCAGAAGAGGTAGGGAAGGATTCTTCACTAAAGCCTTCAGAGGAAGCATGGCCTGGCAATGCTTTGATTTAGAGCTTCTAGCCTCCAGAACTATGAGAGAATGCATTTATGTTGTTTTAAGCTACTCATTCTGTGGTAATTTGTTATGTCAGCCCTGGGAAAGGAGAAAACCCTCCAAGACCTTCCTTCACCTCTGAAGATACTATTCTTTCCATCTTACCTTCCCCAATCTCATTTCTTCAGTCACCTCAACTTGATACTGTACCACTTTATTCTCAACCCTTAAAATATGGTTTTTGCCAACACCCAAACCACACTTCCCCACTATTAACAATCTTCTGAAATTTCTCTGGAAAAATCACTAAAGATGTTCTAACTTCTAAATTTAGTAATTCTTCTAGTTCCCCTTCCTCATTGCTCTGCAGTATTTCACACACTTGTACACTTGAAATACTATCCTCATGTAGCACAATGCTTTCCTGGTTGCCCTTCTCCTTGCCTTCCTCTTTTTGTCTCCTGCCTCTTAAGTGCAGTTTCTTTAATCCTTACTTATTTCCCTCCCTTTTCTCTCTCATCAATCTCATGACTTCTAAAAAGCTCTAGTCATGAACCACCTTATTAAGTCACACATTTCCTAGATGTTCTATTCCGTAACCAAGTTTACCATGATATTACCCAAACATGATTTCCCTCCCTGTTTCAATGACTACTGCTGGTATTACAATCCTCCTGGTCATACAAACTTGAAATCTCCAACTTAGTTTCTATTCCTACTTTTCCTCGTATTAAATCAGAGACTAAGTCTCATCAAATGCACTTTCAAGTTATTCTGCAAATGAGCACTCTAGATCAGAGGTTCTCAACCTCTACACTACTGACATTTGGGTCTAGATAATTCTTTGTTGTAAGGGCAGCCTGCGTATTGTAGGATATTCATCAACATCCTTGGCCTCTCCTCACTAGTTACCATACCATATCCCACTTCCCAAATGTGACAACCTAAAATGTTCCCAATATTTCTGAATGTCCTTTCGAGGACAAAATTATCTCAGTTGAGGCTTTCAATTCTTCTCACCTGAAAAAAATGCAGTAGCATTTTCAGGGGTCCAGATATTAGTTCAACAAATATTTACTAAAACCACCTGGAACATAGTAAACTCTGAATAAATATTTCCTTTGGTGTGTGTATGCAGACATATGTTTATATGTAAGTACATGGCTATTTTTGTGTCTGTATGTGTATGCATATGTGTGTGTATGTGTATGCTTGAATGAAGGGGTCAGATACTCTGCTAGTTGGAGTATACAAAGATGAATTAGAGAAAAGTCCCTTTGGGGAGCTGAGTGTCTAAAAGTTAGTTGGTGTTCCAGAAAGCAGACACTGCATGATACAAGAACAAGGGCGAAGGACATTTTGATGGTAGCAGAGATGGTTTCCTGAGCAGCACACCAGGACTGCTGAGTCTTCAAAGGAAAAAAAAATTAAGTAAAAGTGAAACAGAGAGCGGGCTTATGGTTGCCAGATGGGAGGGAGGCTGGGAGACAGGGTGAAAGAGGTGAAGGGATTAAGAAGTAAATTAGTAGTTACAAAATAGTCACGGGGATATAAAGTACAGCATAAGGAATATAGTCAATAATATTGTAATAACTATGAATGATGTCAGGTGGGTACTGGAAATATTGGGGGAAGAACTTTGTAAAGTATATGACTGTCTAATTACTACACTGTACACCTGAAACTAATCTAATCTAATAAAGCAGGAATATGCAAATTGACCATCACACTGTCACAAAGATGGTGGTGCCCATAGCCACAAGATGGCGGCGCCAGTTCCCTCAGCCCCGCCAGAGTCCTGCAGTCCAGGGGTAGGGGGCGGCAGGCGGGCGACACAGCTGGACCTGCCCCCAGGTGGGTCCAGCCACGCCGCTTGCCTGCCACTGGAGTCCCCCAGTCCTTTCAGCCCCGCTGGCGGCAAGCAGGCAAGCAGGTACCGCAGAGAGCAAGCGGACAGTAGGGCCTGCTTGCTTGCCCGTCACTGCGGCGACTGGCGGGCAGGCAAGCAGGCCCCACAGAGAGCAGAGAACCACGGGGAGCGGGCCTAAGCCATCAGTAGGATATCCCCTAAGGGCTCCTGGACTGGAGAGGGTGCAGGTCGGGATGAGGGACCCACCCCCCCCTCCCGTGCATGAATTTCGTGCACGAATTTCGTGCACGAATTTCGTGCACCGAGCCTCTAGTACAAAATAATGTTGAACGTAAACTGTAATTGAAAAATAAAATTTAAAGTTCTTAAAAAAATTAAGTGAAAGTATTTCAAATAGAGTACATACTTCAAAGCCATTGTACATACTATATGATTAACACTTCTAAAATGCAACTGTGTGATTCATTAGTTTATAAACTTTTGAGTTGTGCTTCTGTTTAAAATTTAGAAAGCTGCAAGAGTGTGCTGCTACTACCCTAACCACAAGAAAAAAACTGGAATAATTTATAAATAACTTCTTAAACTCATCAGAGAACAGAGGTCACGGAAACCAAGGAACTAATTCCGAAGAGTGACAAGGCCCTCTAAGGAGATGGGACATAGCAACTGTCTCATAGGAATAAGAGGTGATCAACATAGAAGCAGATAAGAAAACAACAAACATTTTAACAAATTCTCAAAGGCCAAATGTGGACTAGCATAGAGTACATGAGGACCCTACCACAGGAGAGTCTGCACTCATGCACAAAGGTCTTCAGTAGGTGCTTATCAGCAACACTGGGGTCAGGACAGGAGACCAGAGAGAGATACACGCAAGCAGGAAGAGGTACCACTAGGGAAAAGTAACAAATGCCATCTACTTCCCTGAACCCTCTCCTTATACAAAGCAAAAAAAACTCAAGTCTCTGATAAAAGACACCAAACTCTTTCATCCCTGGAGTCTCTGTGTGAGGATTAGAAAGAAAACATGCCTGTTCCAAAGGGAAGGAAGGAAAACACCTTAAGCCCAGGATCCTACACCAATCAACGCAGAGGCTGGCTACTCTTCGAGGAGGGATGGGAGCAGAGGCTTCACCTCTAAGGACTCACATGACCTGATTTTAAGACTTAGAATAATGTTACAGCACAGACATATAGATCAATGTTCAGACAGACATATAGATCAATGGAACAGAAGAGATCCAAAATGTTGTAAATTAACAAAAAGATAGTCTACTGATTTTTAACAAAGGTTCCAATAAAAAAGATAATCTTTTCAAGAAAAGGTGTTAGATTTGAAAAAAACAAAAACAAAACTTTGACTTATACTTTGCACTACAGTTGTCCCTTAAACCAGCGGTTGCAGACCACTGGTGCTCTGTGAGGTCCGAAAGGTTGGTGACCAATGCCTTGAATAACACAGGTGTTAACTGAGAAGGTGCACTTATTCACATATTTTTAAAATCCTGGTTTGTTCAAGGGTCAGCCTTTTTGATACAGGGTTGGGAATCTGCAGATGCAAAGAGTCAATTGTAGTTAAGATTTTGCAGGGTCTAAAGTTACATGCGAATTTCTAACTGCAGCAGGTGGGTGTCCCTAATCTCTACATAATTCAAGGGCCAACCATTTATACAAAAATCAACTAGAAATGGATGACAGGCATATGTAAAACCTAAAAAAATAAAACTTCTAGAAGAAAACACTGGAAAATATCTTAGTTACTTAGGTTATACAAAATTTCTTAGGACACAAGAAACATGAGCAATAAAAGAAAAAAATGACAAACTTAAGTTCATCAAAATTAAAAACTGCTTTGTAAGACACTTAAGAAAATGAAAAGCTAAGCCACGGACTGGGAGAAAATACTTGCAAACACATATTTAATAAAGGATTTGTATCCAGGCATATAACTCAACACATTTAAAAACCTAATTTATTATTTATTTCTTTGTTTGTTTGTTTATTTATTTATTTATTTATAAAGTACATTTATTAAACCTGGGGACAGTGAAACAAGAAAGGGCTTAGGATAAAAGAAGCAACACGAGAGAACCTCAGTGGGGCTGCCATGGCTCACTGAAAAATAGAAGTCACAGTGACAGAAGTGAGTCAAGGTGTGGCTGCTATTGGCTCACTGCCAAGTCAGAGGAAAGGAGACGGGATCTTGGAGACAGGTTCAGCTCAGGATGAGCTGCTGCTGCCCATTGCTCCCCTGGTTGCAAGTCTTGTGAGGGCCCTTAGAACTTAAGAAGAAAAGCATGCCTGAGAAAGAAAGGTATGGGCATGCTCCAGAGGGGGCCTGCCCCAATTTTTTAAAATAAGCAAACAATTTGAACACTTTACCAAAAGAAAAGATATGGATGTTCATCTTTGAAATCATCCTTCCCTCCCCTTGGACTCCTTAGAAGATGAATATCAACTATTTGGGCAATCTGAAGATTTTATTGAGTTTTTTTCTAAACCCTGAAGAATTTGATTTGTCTAGACAACTATGAAAAAGTCACAATGCCTTTAAGCAAAGCCAAATAATTTATATAAATCATTACCTTAGATAACAGCTTGTCAAATAAGCTATCCATTATCGCTACAAGCTTAGCTGATATTTCAGCTATGTGGTCATGGTAATCCTGTAATGAGAAATAACATTGCATTTCAAAGCCCTTGGGATACATCTAAAAAGATACTTAACAATTCAGGAATTAAATTTATGCAATTCCAATAGAAAATACATGAAAAAGTACCTTAGTGATATGATCAAAATGCCTAAGCATGCTATATTGCTTAGGCTGCAGCCGGGCTTCAAAATGAGCCCGGATCACAGGAATGTAGTGCACAATTAACTGCAAACAGCGTGAAGAAAGGGCTAAAGATCCAAGTGGTAGACATATCATGGAAAAACAAAAAAGGATATTAGTTAACTTTAAGTACATATCAAGTTAAGTAAAAAACATCAATAAATTTTATACAGACCCCAATTTATTTCATAAATGAAGAATATTGAAGCAGAAAGCAACATATTTGGTACTGAATAGTGTAATGAACATGCTGATTTTCCAAATGGACTCAAGTTGTATTACTGGCCTGAGGAAGCTGATGGCACAACTGATTCTCTCCTGATACTCATATATCTTTCACCCCAAAGTACTTTATACATAAAGCATCTTAACACTTTCTACAGTGGTGCAACTTCCAAATAACATACTTGCTAAAGTGGAAATTCCTCATAACATTTTCCCAGAAATTAATTTTTCAATTATGGTAATACATAAAAAAGGGAAGTAGCACTTGCTACTTTTAAAGCCTTTGGTCAGAGCCACAAGAACATCTACTAAAAACACGATGAGTATAGTAGCGTAATTATAACACCTCAGTTGTGAATTAAATTCAAGAATACATACCCAAATTTTTTGTAGTTATTGTTTTTAGTCCAACAACTTGCAGTGCACCAGCTCCAAGAACTAACTGACAACTTCTTGAATTGAAGTACTAACAAAGGAAGGAGAGAGAAAAATCCAACAATTTATTAAAAATTATTCTTCATATGTTGGCAATGTGCTAACAGTTCTAAAAATATGCATTCCTTTTTCCTCTCATTCATTGACCAAATGAATTTTCTAGTAGGAGCAAGTAGGATCTATTTATGTAATGACAAAAAAAAGGGGGGGTAAGGGTGTTCCTAAATGATAATATTTACTGTCTGGTAGAAAAAAGTTAAGAAATTCTAAAAATCAATTGTTCAGAAATTATCCTTTAATTTGCATTCACAGAACTAGTTCAGTCATTTTCCTCAGTCATTCTTACTGGATAGTCCTATTTTCAAAAGGATAACAAAATCTTTCTGGACTATAATATGACAACTCTATTTTGGGACCAAATTAATTGACAGATTAGACATTTGAAAAAAATGAAACCTTTTCTTCATGTTAGCAGTTAAAAATATCTGTTAATATGAAACAGCTGAATAAAATTATCACTACATTTTTATTTTACATCAATGGTTCTGAAAGAATGATTTAAGAAAAATCGCTAACCTTAGTGAGATGAATTTTGTAAAGTTCAGTGAATTCCTTCCATGCACATTTGAAACCAGTCCAGGTTTTTTTGACCTAAGTGGCCTCAGTCATGTTCAGCACCTAACGAACAAATCATCTCCTGTCTCCAATGTCATTAACAACTCTATGGGTGTAATGAGGAATCACTAAGTGTAGAGTGAGAAAGAAGCAGGTGGCCTTCTTCCAGTTACATGTGATTTAATCACAATTAAATGTCACAAAATTAATGTGTTAAAGATAACTTAAAAACTTGAAATGTCTTACAGTTGGAAGATAGGTCACACCCTAAAGAATTACTTCTACCAACTATGTTTCCATAACAGAGTAAAATCATACCCACCTTCAATAAATCTGACAGACGAGTAAGCATGTCAGTAGTAACAGATGGGATATTATCCACACACTGGCAATATTCAAGGATAATTCTTATCAACAACAATACAGTTCTATAAGAAAAGAAAGATGATTCAATAGGCAGTCAAAATAAAAATAAACAAAACTGATTCAGCACACAAAAATCAACAATGATCTTGGTAACTGCTAAATTACGTGTTTTACCTACAAGCTCAGCATAGTAAGTACTCATTAGGCTGGGGAGAGAGAGTTTCCTAGGGTGCAAAATTAAGGAGGCACTCAATTTCAGGATCATGCAATTGCAGGGTTAGTACTTGCATGACATCGAGAATGAATACCTCCTTAAATTTTGTGCTGTGGGCACAAGACTCTCTGTATGGCATCCTAATTCTCTTCTATAAAGCAGGTATCCCATTTTTTGGCCAATTCAGAAACACTGACAAAAAGGCTACCCAGTGTTTCTGATTATGTAGTAGATCCTCAATCATAACTGTTGAATTAATGACGGGAACCTAGTCCAGATTTTCCTAATAAGATCAAAGAGAAACTGTGGCTTCTAAGAGCAACTTAAATCCTAAGATGTTTATTGGTAAGTCATGTGGATAAAAAACAAAAGGGGCCTAGCTGGTTTGGCTCAGTGCATAAAGCATCAGCCTGCAGACTGAAGGGTACTGGGTTCGATTCCAATCAAGGGCACATGCTCAGGTTGCAGGCTTAATCCCCAGAAGGTGGTGTGCAGGAGGCAGCCAATCAATGATTCTCTCTAATCATTGATGTTTTTATCTCTCTGTATCCCTCTCCCTTCTTCTCTGAAATCAATAAAAATATATTAAAAACAAAACAAAAACAAAAGGGGGTTCTTTGGAACAGTGGTCGCCAACCTTTCCGACCTCATGGACCACCAGTGGTCCGCGGACCACTGGTTGGTGACCGCTGCTTTGGAAAGTAATCTCACAGGGTGACCTAATAATAAATTCCCAACTAGACAGGTTATGGTGGCTGGTCTTGCTCCAGGCCTAAAACTTTTTAATAAAGATTTATCTTTGCCTTGAGCAAGCCCCGTCCATTGTTTCTGTGCATCTAGTCAGTGGTCGGCAAACTCATTAGTCAACAGAGCCAAATATCAACAGTACAACGATTGAAATTTCTTTTGAGAGCCAAATTTTTTAAACTTAAACTATATAGGTAGGTATATATTAACTTAATTAGGGTACTCCTAAGGCTTAGGAAGAGCCACACTCAAGGGGCCAAAGAGCCGCATGTGGCTCGCGAGCCGCAGTTTGCTGACCACTGCCTAGGGCAGTGATGGTGAACCTATGACCACCTCTGAACTCATTTTTTTGGTTGATTTTTCTTTGTTAAATGGCATTTAAATATATAAAATAAATATCAAAAATATAAGTCTTTGTTTTACTATGGTTGCAAATATCAAAAAATTTCTATATGTGACACGGCACCAGAGTTAAGTTAGGGTTTTTCAAAATGCTGACACGCCAAGCTCAAAAGGTTCCCCATCACTGGCCTAGGGAATAACAGTGTTGCATCTTCTTTTATGTATTGGAAATTAAGGAGGGAGGGGAAGAAAGATTACATGGAGGTGGGAGAAAGTAAGGTGGGGATGGAATTACAGGACAATTAACAAGATTATGTGCTCTCTTTAGTGTGGTTAGACTTACTTCAAAGGTGTATTAACCTATGCCCTAACCGGTTTGGCTCAGTGGATAGAGCGTCGGCCTGTGGACTGAAGGGTCCCAGGTTCGATTCCGGCCAAGGGCATGTACCTTGGTTGCTGGCACATACCCAGTAGGGAGTGTGCAGGAGGCAGCTGATCAATGTTTCTCTCTCTCATCGATGTTTCTAACTCTCTATCCCTCTCCCTTCATCTCTGTAAAAAATCAATAAAATATATTTAAAAAAAAAAAAAAGGTGTATTACCCTAGATCAGTGGCCAGCAAACCTCGGCTTTTGAGCCACGTGCGGCTCTTTGGCCCCTTGAGTGTGGCTCTTCCACAAAATACCACGTGCGGCGCGCACGTACAGTGCGATTGGAACTTCGTGGCCCATGCACAGAAGTCGGTTTTCGGCCTGGGCAAGTCTATTTTGAAGAAGTGGCGTTAGAGTGGGGGAGTGTCGGTCGGGTGACGGGAGACACGGCGCAGGTGGGCCGCGGGATACGCAGCGCGGGGTAGGCGCGCAATTCATGCACGAGTTGAGTGAGCCAGTCAGTCAGCAGTCTCATTGTGCAGTGGTTAGTGCTAGTTGCGTCCGCAAATCGTGCACGCGTGACAAAAGTACCTACTCGAAGTATCAAGTTACCTGTATTTTTCCAACCAGCTGCAAATCCTACAGGTATTTTTGTCATCAATTTAAGAATTGTAATTATTTTGTGTTGGTGGCTTTATTATTATAAAATGAGGACGTTTTTAGCAAAGGCCAGCTTAGGAGTACCCTAATTAAGTTAATAACAATGTACCTACCTATATAGTTTAAGTTTAAAAAATTTGGCTCTCAAAAGAAATGTCAATCGTTGTACTGTTGATATTTGGCTCTGATGACTAATGAGTTTGCCGACCACTGTCCTAGAGCATTTGAGATCTTGCTTCCTGGCATATGTCTTCAGTTTGGCTCAAATAAACTCTTATAAAAATTCTCTACAGGACTGGACATTTCTTACATTGACAGTCACAAAAGATTCTTCAAAGATGAGAAAGTCAATAGCTCATTAGCAGGTTATATCAGAAGTTGAAAAGAGAACTTTAAATTATTTGTAAGTTTTTCCTTTTATTGATTTTAGGAAAAGAGAGAGGAGGAAGAGAGGGAGGGAGGGAGAGAGAGAGAAACAACGATTTGTTGTTTCACTTATTTATGCATTTATTGGTTGCTTCTTGTATATACTATGACTGTGGATCGAACCCGAAACCTTGGTGTACTGGGAGGGTGCTCTAACCAACTGAGCTACCTGGCCAGGGCTCTTTGGAGGGTTTTAAATTGTTAACCCAAAATTTCCAACTCACATCAAGTGGGAACTAAAAGACCTATGTTTTAAATAATTTACTTAACTAATAAGGAAAAATGTGTCACTCACCCAACAACAGCATACTGTTGTCCCTCAACAATGAGAACTTCAGCTGGTTTCCTTTCTTCTTTAGCTAGGGAGTAAAGCAAATAACCAAGAAAGACATAAGTACAAGATAAAACAAAATATTATAGAAAAATTTAAACTAGAAAAAAATGGAATAAGATAGTTGCTATATAGGGCCTGAAACTGTCTCATATCTGAAAATAAATATCTACTCCTCAGGAAACAATCTGGCACAGAGTCAATAATATACTGAGTTTGAAATCAGAGAGATTTAGATTTGAGATCCAGTACTGCCAATTACTAGACCAATTACCTTGGGCCAATTAATTAACATATTTGAGTTTCAATATCTATATCAATTAAACATAGGTAACAATATTATCTTTCAGGGCTGTTGTTAATGATAGAGATAATGATTACAAACTGTTTATACTCTAGGTCTGGCACATGATAAATGATCAGTAAGTAGTAAAGCAAAAAAAAAAAAATGTTAGTTTGGAAAAGCAGAACATTTCAACTGGTTGTCTTTATTACAAAATGCAAGTTAATTCCTATATTCCATGGATACACTATATATTTAATTTCAAGATTTTAATCCAGAAGTTATTTTCAGCATACAGTATTTCTTATTATAAAACAAAATTCATCATGTTGAGGTGAAAAAAAAGGTGGACTGGATTATTACCTGAATCAGCCAAATTATCATGCTTCCCTAAGCTTCAAGTCCCCTTTAAGCTCTAAGACATTTGTGAATAATAAAGGGGCTATGTACAAGTTCAGTGACAAAATGTAACTCCATAGAGCAGCGGTTCTCAACCTGTGGGTCGCAACCCCTTTGGCGGTTGAACGATTCTTTCACATGGGTCGCCTAAGACCATCCTGCATATCAGATATTTACATTACGATTCATAACAGTAGCAACATAACAGTTATGAAGTAGCAACGAAAATAATTTTATGGTTGGGTCACAACATGAGGAACTGTATTTAAAGGGCCAGAAGGTTGAGAACCACTGCCATAGAGTGATCTGATCACAAAATCCAAACTGGGCAGTTCATGAAGGGTAGTCACACCTCAGGCCTATAACTTTCCTAGTAAAAGGTTATCTTGGCCTTAAGCAAAATCTGTCCATTGTTCTTGTGGTTCTAGGTTAACACACCTTTGAAATGCCTCTTTTTCAGACTCCTTGGAAGTGTAACCGTCCTCCAAAGAGAACACAATCTTAACTATCCTATACTTTGCTTTCTCCCACCTTCATGTAATCTTCCTTACATTCCCTCCTTCATTCCAAATGTATAAAAAGAAGTGCAAAACTGTCATTTGCTGAAGCATTTGAGATCTTGCTTTTCAAATGCCATCAGTTTGGCTCAAATAAGCTCTTATAAAAATTCTCTACAGGTTTGGACATTATTATGTTGACACATTAAATGTCTACTTCCTCATTTCTTCAAAGTAAAGAAATTCAGTGTGATATAATGTGTAATCACAATTCACTCTGTATGTCATATTAAAGTTTTTGAGGACAGGAACTATGTCTTAACCAGTTACATTGCAGAGAAGAGGCATAGCATAGCAGTTAAGAGAAAGAGCCCTAAAGCCAGTCTGCCTGAATCTGGATCTCAGCTCTACCACTTCCTAGCTATGTAAGCTTAGGCAAGTTGTTCAACCTCTTTGTGCCTCACTTCACATATTTGTTAATTGAGAATACTAACAGTGACTACCTTGTGGACCTGTAAATGAGATAACAATATAAAGTGCTTAGAACAAACTGTCTAGCATCAATATGAACTACTATCCATTAACCTTCATTTCCCCAATGCCTAGCCAAGTAACCAGTAATTCAATAAATGAATGGTGGATACATAATAACCAAGGACCCCTAACTTGGTAAGACCTAGTAAAATGTTAATAAACTTCTAATAGCTTATACTTTCTTCTCTGAGGAAAGAAAAAAAAGACTGGAACAGAAGCAGGGTATATAGAGAAACTTCTACTTTTAGTATTCTTCAACAGAAAATGAAAATAAATAGCCCACTTTGCAGAAAAAATACACAGTTAATTCAATCACATTATATAATTTTAATTAAAAAATCATGTTTACATGACAATGGATTGCAAGACTGAGCTGTTCATGTCTGAGTGACCTAGTACAGTACCCTTCCTTAATAGAAAGTCGATCAAATGTAGCTTTTAAAAGAGCAGCAGATGAGCAATAAATCTTTAATTTTAAACTTGAGATTTAGAATGATCAGAGTGTTTTATTTTTCTTTCAGTTTTTGCTACTTGAGTGTTTTTGCTTTGCTAATATCATAAAATCAATTTAAAAATTGTGACCACCACCCAGCACTGTTGTTACCTACTAGCAATGGTCACAAGACAACAGAAATTTACTTAATTCTTTCCAGTCCTCCCTCTCTATGAACTAATCTATTTTACACCTGTCGTTAACCCTCCTCTCTTGCCACAGTGGTAGAAGAGACAGCCTTTCTCCTGAACTCTATATTCAATTCCAGGGTAATTGCTCCATAATCACTATGTCATTCTTATCCTAAATTAATCTTCTTCCTCTGTTAAGCATAAAAATATAACTATGCTTCTCCTAGAGAATTTGTTAAAATTCTTCTCTCAACTCCCTGAGTGGATTAAGGTAAAAATCTCTAATTTATCTTATATTTCTAGCTCTTGCTTCATCACTTACTTAAACAGCGAAACTTGTTGAAAAAGTAGGCTACACTTGTCTACCCTTCCTCACCTTTTGACTTACTTAGCACTGAATGACAATCTGACTCTATCATTCTATTGAATTAATGTAAGACTGCAAATGATCTACATGTCAAACTAGTGGTCACTATATTTTACTCCATCTTTCTATTATGTGCAATTGTATTTTGTACAAATGTAAAGTATACAATTTAAAAAATATTTCTATGGAAAAATATTAAATTTTCATTAAATGCATAAACTGTGAAAATGCAACTACCTCCTCCATGAAAACTATTCAAGGACTTCATAGTTTTGAATCTGGTATTACAGGATAAATTGTAAATAACTTTACATTATTATCATATGACAATTCCACTTCATATAAAACCCATCCAGTATTTGATACCAATGACAATACTCTTCTTGAAACTCTAATTTTTTAATTCTATGTTCTTCTGGTTTTCTTCCCACCTCTCTGGCTTTTCCTTCTTAGTCTCCTTCATAATTTTCTTTTTCTATGATTCTTTACATTTTTATTTTCTTTACTGCATCATACTACATTACTTGCTAATATACTGTGTCTAATGTGACTGCTAATCTGTATTTTTTCATTAGACTTAACCCTTTTAAAGTACAACTATAACTGCTATCCCTGTCTCAATATCTGACACACATAAGCTTACTTGTGCTGTATAAATACTTGTACTGAATAATATGGTACAGTGGTTAAGAACATAACTATGAAATGATAGGACACTGGTTTCAAATCCCAGCTCATCACATTTATACAAAATTTCTTAACCCTTCAAAGCTTCATGCTTCCTCACTTCCTCACTGTTAAACAACCTAACAATAGTATCTTCATAGCAGATCGAGTTTTAAAACTGGAGTTTGAAAAAGCACCTGGTACAGTATCTGGCATATGATTACCCATCAATAAATATCTAAATTATAAATTACCACAGATACCTTTCCAGTCAACTACTAACTAAGCTGGGAGTATTAGTTCTAGGCTTTTAAAGAGGTATTGTCAATTAATGAAATATTAAGCATTCCCACAAAATGAACAAACAATATAAAATTGGAAGAGTGTGTGAAAAAATACACATACCCCCTGACTTTTTTTCAGGTAAAGCAATCTTTCCATCTGATAGAGAATCAACAAGATCCTGAAATTCTGCAGGTACATCAGCTTGTTTCCAGCGCTCATTGTCTAAAAGGAGGCTATATAAAAGTAAAAAGAAAGATAAACCTTAATAACATTTTAATGCCATTTTTCTTGGTTGAAAAGAGCTGAGAAAATACCTAAGACTTTTGTTATATCTTTTAATAATAAAAACTACAAATAAGTTAAATTCAAGTAGAGCTCATGCAATACAAGACACTGAGTTTTTAAACAGCAATGGCTATTAGCTATATTGTTAGTACATAAGACTTAAAAGTGCTGAACACCTTAGTAAATTGAAATCATTCATAAACAGTATGAATACTTTCAGAAAATATTTCTCTTTTTATATCTCTTAGCCTAACCAAGAAGAGTGATGAAACATAATTATCTTCACTTTCAGTGGGGGGAAAAGGCAATCTATTAAGGATCTTCCTGATAAATATTTTAATGGGAATAAACATTCTAACTTCATTTTGAAAAGCCAAAAAATGTGATTTTTGATTCCAAATCTGCCTTTAATTAAAAAGAAAAAACTTTGTCAGGAGTTTTGGTTGGCCAATCAGTTCAGTTTCTTCTTTTAAATATAATTGTGTTTTTGTAAAGGAAAGGGAAAAAAAAATGAAGGACAAAATAGACATGGTAATGATACCTGAGCTTGGTTTTTCTCTCTTCATGAAACCTATTTACAAATTTATTAGCTTGGCTCTGAAGTGCTCCAAGTAATGACATGCTTTTTCTTCCACAGATCTGTTCAGTGTCTAAAATGAATGTTTCCATTAACCTAGAAAGTGTTATGAATTCCGTGGAATTTAGCTTCTCAAGAAAACCATCCTAAATTGTAAAGATAACACAAAATTCGTGACAGTTAGTATATCACCAAATATGGATATGCTACAAAACCACTCAGTTTGACAAATGCTAATATTAATTATTTCATGATATTTAATATATTAATTCATAAAAATTATTTTGAAATCATTTTTAATTATGCCAATACTTTAGTCTCAAAAATTGAATGTAAAAAGCTTGATGTCTAAATTTTATCCCAACCCACTTAAAATACAGCAGCTCAAATAAATTCACATCATGTAAAAATTTCACAATATTGGAGTTCAACTAATTTTAATAATAAATTGTTTGACTAGTTATATTCACATGTACAAAATAGCATTATTAATTTCATATTAATTATTAAGGTATATTTCAAAATAAGTCTTTTATTAAATCATTTACTTGAAAAGAATACTTGAATATGTTTTCCTATTTCTCTTATTTGGATTATTTTAACATCTGCCTAATAATCTTACTAAGTGTTAAAAAATATAATATGCATTATGGGGAACATAGGGACATAAGCAGGGATATGATTCCAGATTTTCAAATAATTACACTATATATAAAATATTAAAGCTTTATCAAAACAACTAACCTTTGCTCTTGACATGAGAAATTTGACAGCTCGATCATGGCATATGTCTGAGGCACTATACAGTAACTCCTGGATATTATTTGCCAGCTTTCCTAGTTCTAAGTCAGTTAATTTCATGTCTTCATTCACCCTGAAAATGATCAAAAATAGATTAAGTCAGGGAAAGTTGTAAACACATTGTTCTACATAGGTGACATATCAATAAAAAACTAAACGCTATAAAATTCTCATTTGAGGAAAAATTCTGTGATGTACCAAATACTTTTTTTTTTTGGTGTGGTGAAGGATCTATCACTTAAACAAGTCAAGACAATACAAATATATTTTACCCTAATCTGATATAAGAATAATTTTCTCAATTTTTTCATTTATGCTAACAGCAAGACACCCAGGAAAACACACATGGTGTCAAAATAAGCCAAAGGAAAATCATTTGGGCAAATATAAAAAAGACCCCAAGTAAAACTCCCTTTATTAACCTTCGGTCGAGAATATGTTTGTATATTTTCAGAAAACAACTCCAAGACCATGTGGATTCCTGCAACAGAGAGGAATTATCAGGAATGCTCCAGCCATGAAGACAAGAGGAAAAACAATCCAGAGATGAAGGACGCTGACGTCACTTTGCCATGCTAGCAGTCAGCAGCTGTGCGTCGCTGCAGGTTGCCCAGGATCAAACCAGAGAGGGTCGGACCTGCATTGCCACCATTTGTCCACCATCCAGAACTGAAATATCATTGCTGACACCTACACATAAGGAACTGTCGGACATTGAAACTTGGACTCAGAACTCTTGGACATTGAAATTGGGACTTAAAACACTTTTTGTTCTTGAAATGTTATGCTCAAGTTTTAAAATGTTTTAGGTTAAAAAAAAATAGAAGCAGGGGCATAGAAAGGGAATGGACTGATAATTCTTGGGGGGAAGGAGGTGTGGGGGGTGTGGGAAGAGACTGGACAAAAATCTTACACCTATGGATGAGGACAGTGGTAGGGGGTAAGGGCATGGGGTGGGGTGGGAACCTGGTGGAGGGGAGATATGGTGGAAAAAAGAGGAACATCTGTAATAATCTGAACAATAAAAGATTTATTAATTTAAAAAAAAATATTTTACTTGGGTTGAACTTGGATAGCAGATGTTTTAGAGTAAATATGGCTTCCACTACTTTATATACAGGGTGAAGAACTACGCTCTATTACTGGTTCCCAAACTTCATCTCAAATTATTATCATTTAAGGGAGATTTTATAGAAATGAGCATACGCAAATACCACCAAAAATACAAACTTTTTAGAATGTTTATTTGAGGCACAATGAGCAAAAGATGATGGGTAGAAAAAGAAGATGTAATGACTATTGTTTTTGCCTACCCAACATCCTTTTCCTCTTTATTTGGTATTAGCATCTCCATTTTATTTTGAGGAACTCCCATTCTGTTTCAAAACACATACTCCTGGTTGAGTTATCCTATCCCCAATTCCTAAAATAAAAAGCTTCTGCACAGCAAAAGAAACCATCAACAAAACGAAAAAAGAACCCACTGTATGGGAGAGAACCAAGATGGCGACATAGGTTAACGCCAGAGTTTGCTGCCTCGAACAACCACTTCAAAAATACAACTAAAAGACGGAACGGACATCACCCAGAACCACAGGAAGGCTGGCTGAGGAGAGACTCTTCAACTAGAAGGAAAAATAACAGCACACCGAGGCTCAGAGGAGGCGCAGTGTGGAAAATACTCAGGTGCGGAGGTGCGCGCGCAAAGCGGGCTGGTGGCTGAGAGCGCGGTTGTCGTTTTCGGTCAGGGGGGAGTCTCAGACTCTGAGCTCCAGATACGGGCGAATCGCTGGGGACTCGGACTCAAACGGGAGAAGCGGGAGTGTCTGGCATCAGTTGGAAGGCAGCTTTCTCTCCGAGGTTTGCAGCGGTTCCTGGGGTTCTGAGAAGCAGAGCCTCTGGGAACGGGACTGAGGGCACCATAACCGCTCCCTCCGCCCGCCCTGTTGAGCCCGCCCCGCCCAAGCCCTGCGCAGAGCCATTTGCCGGATCGCCTCAGGCAAAGGCTAGATTAGCACCTCCCCAGAGGACAGAAGTTTTCCGCGGCAGACACAGCTGATTCACACAGCCAGTCGGCCTGGTGGTCAAATCCCTCTAGTATTAACTACAACAATCAAGGCTCAACTAGAACAAGACTGCGCACAAAGACCACTAGGGGGTGCACCAAGAAAGCATAAAAAATGCGGAGACAAAAAAACATGACAGAAATGGAGGATATAGAGCTAAAAAACGCAATTTTGAGGGCTTGCAATAAACTTTTGGAGAGCTTCACGAAAACTAATGAGACCCTCGATGCTATGATAAAGAAACTAGAAATTAAGCATACACGCTCTGAAATAAAGAATATTACACCCAATAGCAGACCAGAGGAGCGCAAGAATCAAGTCAAAGATTTGAAATGCGAAGAAGCAAAAAACACCCAACCGGAAAAGCAAAATGAAAAAAGAATCCGAAAATACGAAGATAGTGTAAGGAGCCTCTGGGACAGCTTCAAGCGTACCAACATCAGAATAATAGGGGTGCCAGAAGATGAGAGACAGCAAGATATTGAAAACCTATTTGAAGAAATAATGGCAGAAAACTTCCCCCACCTGGTGAAAGAAATGGACTTACAGGTCCAAGAAGCGCAGAGAACCCCAAACAAAAGGAATCCAAAGAGGACCACACCAAGACATATCATAATTAAAATGCCAAGAGCAAAAGACAAAGAGAGAATCTTAAAAGCAGCAAGAGAAAGAGACTCAATTACCTACAAGGGAATACCCATACGACTGTCAGCTGATTTCTCAACAGAAACTTTGCAGGCCAGAAGGGAGTGGCAAGAAATATTCAAAGTGATGAATGCCAAGAACCTACAACCAAGATTACTTTATCCAGCAAAGCTATCATTCAGAATTGAAGGTCAGATAAAGAGCTTCACAGATAAGGAAAAGCTAAAGGAGTTCATCACCACTAAACCAGTATTATATGAAATGCTGAAAGGTATCCTTTAAGAGGAGGAAGAAGAAAAAGGTAAAGATACAAATTGTGAACAACAAACATGCATCTATCAACAAGTGAATCTAAGAATCAAGTGAATAAATAATCTGATTTACAGAATGAACTGGTGATTATAATGAATCAGGGACATAGAAAGGGAATGGACTGACTATTCTTGGGGGGGAAAGGGGAATGGGAGATGCGGGAAGAGACTGGACAAAAATCGTGCACCTATGGATGAGGACAGTGGGTGGGGAGTGAGGGCGGAGGGTGGGGCGGGAACTGGGAGGAGGGGAGTTATGGGGGGGAAAAAAGAGGAACAAATGTAACCTGAACAATAAAGATTTAATTTAAACAAAAAAAAAAGTTCAGACTCTGGTTGGAAATTTTGCGAAAATGACAGCAAAAAAAAATTCTACTTAGGTATAAAGTGGTTGCTGTAATAAGTTGTGCACAGGTGTTTAAGATGATACAATGGAAGGAGGAAAAAAAGGAAGGAATGTTATTTAATGACAAACAAGCTCTCTTTTTACTTACAATTATGAATGTTTGTTAACATTCAGTTTAACTGAACTAACATCTCCTGAGCATTTACTATGTTTAAATGTTTGGCACTGGAGAGGATATAATAGATCACTTAAAATTGAGACCTCAGAGACCTTAAAATTGAACAGAAATATTTATAAGATATTATGCATTTTTTCCAGTTTTGAGAAGGAAATGTATCACTTTCAATTTTTATATATTTTCCCCTGGTATATGTAAAGATCACAGATTCCATGGCAACAATTCAGTTTATGTAAACCAAGTTAGTGCCTTAGCATCATTTTCTCCCTTTCAGTTGAATTAAAATAATTTTCAAAGATATTATAAAGAGGCTCTGATGTATATTAATTTTTGAGGCAAACCACTACTTTAACTGGATTAAGTAAGGTATTAATGAAAGTTATTTCCTGCTATCCTTCAAAATTATAGTATCACTAAATTTATTTACTAATGTTCTGAAATAATAGAGGGGTTAATATTCTTAAAGTACTCTCACAAATAGTAATTTGTTTGGTTCTCACATTCAGAGGCAAGTATGTAAATATCTTCTTTATAGATGAGGACACTGAATCTCTAAAGGTTTAAAGTGACCTACCCAAAGTTACAAAGATGAAGAGGATGAGACCAGAATCCAGAATTAGTGTAATTTTATTTCTAACTAGAGACTGGTGCAGTGATTGTGGAGAACAGTATGGTGTTTCCTCAAAAAATTAAAAATGGAACTCCCATTTGACCCAGTGATCACACTTCTAGGAATATATTCCAAGAAACCAGAAACACCAATCAGAAAGGATATATGCACCCCTATGTTCATAGCAGCACAATTTACAATAGCTAAGATTTGGAAACAGCCTAAGTGCCCATCAGCAAATGAGTAAATTAAAAAAACTGTGGTACATTTACACAATGGAATACTACGCTGCTGTAAAAAAGAAGGAACTCTTACCATTTGCAATAGCACGGATGGACCTGGAGAGCATTGTGCTAAGTGAAATATGCCAGTCGGAGAATGATAAATATCACATGATCTCACTCATTTGTGGAATATAATGAACAACATAAACTAATGAACTAAAATAGATTCAGAGACATAGAAGCATTGAATAGACCATCAAACCTCAGAGGGAAGGCAGGGGTGTGGGGGAGTTTGGGTGGTGAGAGATCAACCAAAGGATCCACGGAAAGGTCAATGGGGGAAAAAGGAGACATATGTAACACTTTAAACAATAAAGAATTAAATTTAAAAACAAAACAACAACAACAACAACAACAAACCTGGAGCAGCCTCCTTATACAAAGATAGATGCTACACAATTAGGATAGGAGAGCTGCCTTTTCAGCTCTGGACCACTTACCTCTGAATTGTTACATGAGAGGACCATAATGCTATATTGCTTAAGCTATAGAGGTTTTTACATCTCTTTTAATAGCAGTTTTAGACTGTACCCTAACCAGTAAATGTGAAACTATTAGACTGAACACAGAAAAAAAAACGTTTTTATTAATATGTAGTTCAGAGGTTTTTTTGGGTTTTCTTTTTGGTGGGGAATGGAGGTGATATAGTTGACTTTATGCTGTAAATGCAAGCTCCTCAGCCATAAGCTGACTTATGTGAAAATGAACAGAAGTTCTGAGTTCTTATGATTCTTAACAATAATTAAATCCAAACTATATTCTTGTACCAGAAAGACTTTATTGGCTTTGTTTATTTTCATTCTTTCTATATTCTAGATTATTGGGACAATTGGTGAATTCTTAATACAGTTTGTAGATTAGATGGTAATAATGTATCACTGTTTCCTTGATTTTAATTGGTATACTGTGGTTATTTAAGGGAGTGGTATTGTATTTAGGAAATATACACTGAAGTATTTGGGGATAGTGGGACATCAAGTCTGCAACCTATTGTCAAATGATTCAGAAAAAAAACATGAGACAAAGAAGGAAAGGGGAAGAGAGAAGGAGAGAGAAAAAGGAAGGGTGGGAGAAACAGGGCAATATGGTAACCTGTTAACAACTGGGAAATCAAAGTGAAGGATATATGAAAGTCTTTAGTACTATTTTGGCAACTTTTCTGTAAATATGAAATTATTTCAAAATATTAAGTTTTAAAAAGTAATGTTTAAAAAGACAATGTGATCCACTTGGAAATTCATGTCTTTGAAAAATCAAAAACTAAATCAAACAGATTTTTACTACATACAAAATACAAGGGTGACATAGAAGAAAAGAAAAACAGGTAATACTGATCTGAGTTTCAGGACAAGTTCTGTCACTACTGTCTTTAAGTCATCTAAGCTCTTTGAAATGAAGGCATTTACTTAAATGGTTCCTTTCTAGCCTTAAACTTCTCCAATTCTCGATTACTTCCAAAGCTCACCTCCTAACTACCTTTCATACATTTCCAATAAAATACCTGTTTCATAAAATTGATTTTTGTTAAAATAAATTCCAAGACCAAAGTTTGTATGGTTTTTCAGTAAACTGAATAATCAACCTATTGAAACCATTAATAAGATGACTCAAAATCTTGTTTAGTTGGAAGCAGTTACCATACTCACATAATGTCCACACCTCCTGGAATAGCTGATGATGATGTCTGCTCTTTGCTGGATGAAGAATCAGTAGTACATTCTGGTTCAGATACCGAATCACTGCTGCAGGGCTCACTATTTGGAGATGCATTTCTTTGAGAGGTAGTGTCACTTGTTATAGGTGTTAATTCACTCTCACTGAATGCATCACTTATAAATATGTCTTCGTGGATTAAATATGCCACCTCTGTGTCCAGTGAATTATCCTTTGCAGCATTCTTCTGTTGCAAAATATCCTCCATTTCTCTAGTTCTTTGGTTTTTGTCAAGAACTGAGAGAACAACATTGTGAATGATATTTAACGTTGCCTATAAGAAAACAGGATACATTTTTAAAGGATTTAAAATATCTTGCACCTAAAGTTCCTAAAAGTAAATTCTGTGTATGAACATTTTATAAATGAGTCAAGGTCATGTATGTAAGAATTTCTACTAATCTTTTATTTTATTACACTGTAAAGGTGACTTGTGAAAAAGAACTGCTCAAGAGAAATGGGTTACCTAAAGCTTAAATAAAACTTCTGTATTTTAGTTGATTTTGTAAATTAAAATCTCCCTAAATATATTGCAGATTTCTCTAACCTCTTAGATAGGTTACACTAAACATAACTTGCTTGTAAGAAATCATATTCATTGATGTGCTTGCTTAAAAGAAAAAAAAATCCATATTCCTTACCATGCCTAACCTTAGATCCATTTCTCTCCTCATCTCATGCCTGTTTTCATTCACTCACCACTCTGCAGACATTCTGGTTCTCTTTCTACTCTTCTAAATTCTATTGTTCCCATCTCAAGGCCCTTTGTTGTTTCCTCTGCTTGGAATGCTCTTCACCTTGACCTCTGCATAAGTGTTTCCTCTCATCACTCAGGTTCTTGCACAAAGTTAGTTCCTCGAAGAGGCCTTCTCTGACTCTCCTCCCAGCAACTCCATCCCATTACCCAGTTTTAAAAATATAACAGTTATCATTATATTTTTAACTTTTTAATTCTAGGTCTTCACTAGAATGTTAGCTCTGATATACTCTAATCCTAATGCCTAGAATAGTGCTAGGCACATAGGAAGTACTTAATAAATATTGAAAGCTAGATGAATTAAGAGTAATTATATATAAATTAAGTTTTTATGAACTATTAGGAAATAAGGAGCTACTTGCCTACTTTAATATTCATGGTGGCATTCTCATAACTTGTTGCCCCCTTTCTAAAAACTACTGATTTCTTTTTCAAGATCTACATGGTTCTAGGTTAAGAGACTCCAACTTCAGGTCTTCAAAGACAGGATTAAGGGTCTAAGCCAGGGGTGGGCAAACTTTTTGACTCGAGGGCCACAATGGGTTCTTAAACTGGACCGGAGGGCCGGAACAAAAGCATGGATGGAGTGTTTGTGTGAACTAATATAAATTCAAAGTAAACATCATTACATAAAAGGGTACGGTCTTTTTTTTTTTTAGTTTTATTCATTTCAAATGGGCCGGATCCGGCCCGCGGGCCGTAGTTTGCCCACGGCTGGTAAGCTCATGCAATCAGCACATGGAACCACCATGGCCTGAGCTTAAAGCTAAAGAAGATGCATAGAAGACAAACTGAGAAAAATGCAGAGAAACAAAACCAAGGCTAGATAACATCATCAACTTTTCTATCAAATACCTAAAAGCTGACCTACATCTGGATATTTTTTAGTTATATATACTAGTAAGTCCCCTTAATGGCTGAAGACACTCTGGCCATTGTATTTTCCTGTTATTTGGAACTAAAAGCACTCTTAAGACACAATAGCCCATACAGTATATTGCAGAAATTCTGTGCCTTTAAGGGCTACACTACCAAAGTGTTTATGCATACATTTTTTTCTTTCTCTGTTGATCAGTAACTTCTCTATTATCACAAACATGCTCCTTGCCACACTCCCCATTGAATATTTTAATCCCCACTATAGTCTTAATCTTTGATGTGATTATATCCCCAACCTCATTTTACTTTTCTTCATATCTTTCCATCTTGCATATTTCCTGTCTTAATTTTTTCTTTTAGTAAAAAGACTATGATGGTGACACAGTCTTTCTCTTCCCAGCTATACAAATCAGCTTAATCTTTGGGGTACAGACAACAAACAAGAATTTTAATAAAAATTCAAAATATAATTAACAGTAAAGAAGAACAAAGTTGGAGGTCTCATAGTTGGAGATCTGATTTCAAAATTTACTAAGCGATACCATTATCAAAAAGTGTAGTACTGTCATAAATATAGACATATAAATCAATGGATAGGATAAAGAACCCAGAAATAAACCCTCACATATATGATCAAATGATTTTTGACAAGGTTAACAAGACCGTCTTCAATAGATGGTGTTTAGAAAACTGGATACCCACAGGGCAAAAACCAAAGTAGGACCTTTTTCTTATACTATATATAAAAATTAACTCAAAATAGTTAAAAGATCTAAAATATAACCTAAAATTATTAACTTTTAGAAGAAAACATAGAAGGAAAGCTTCACAACATTGAATTTGGTGATGATTTCTTGGATATGACACCAAAAGCACAGGCAACAAAAGAAAAAGTGAACTATATCAAAATTAAAAACTTTTGTGTACCAAAGGGCACAAAAAAACGGTGAAAAAGCAACCCATACAATGAGAGAAAATATTTGCAAATCATATATCTGATAAAGGGTTAATAGCCAGAATATATAAAGAACTCCTACAATTCAAAAAACAAAAAAACATCTGATTAAAAAATGGTCAGACTCCCACACCTGATGAACAGCTTCAGACTACATCAAATCACCAGAAACTCTGCAGGTCAGAGGGAGTGGCAAGAAATATTCTAAGTGATGAAAAATAAGGACCTACAACAGAGATTACTCTACTTAGCAAAGCTATCATTTAGAATTAAAGGTCAGATAAAGAGCTTCCCAGACAAGAAAAAGCTAAAGGAATTCATCACCACCTAACCAATATTACATGAAATGTTAAAAGGTGAAGAAGGAAGAAGAAGGAGAAAGAAGGAGGAAGAAGAAGGAGGAGGAAGAGAAGGAGGAGGAGGAGGAGGAGGAAGAGCAGCAAAGAAGATATTTCTCCAAAGATATTAAAAATAGTAATAAGCACATAAAAAGGTCAACATCACTTAATCATTAGAAAAGTGAAAATCAAACCAAAATGAAGTACAACCTTACACCCATTATGATGTCTACTATCAAAAAAAGAAAAAGCAACAAGTGTTGGCAAGAATGTGGAGAAATTAAAATCATTATGCACTACTGGTGGGAATATAAAACTGCAGCTATTATGAAAAACAGCATGGAAGTTCCTCGAAAAATCAGAAAAAGAATTGTCATATAATCCAACAATTCCACTTCTGAACATATACCCAAAGAACTGAAAGCAGCTATGAGATATTTGTTCATATTGTGAAGCACTATTCACAATAGCAAAATGTGGAAGCAACTCAAGTGTCCACTGACAGAAGAAGGAATGAACAAAATGTGGTATATACTATATATATATCCCACGTTCAAAGGCTGTTAAATCGCGTTGTTTACCCATATCTTCAGAAAAAAAATCACTTCTACCGTCATAGTCAACAACCTGCTTCCCTATTTATAATGGTCTGGCCCTCTAGCAACTTCACGAAATTATAGCTAATTTGCCTACAAACATCAGGTGGTCATAATAATCTGGCCACTCAGTGTATATATTTAAATGGAATGTTATTTAACCTTAGAAATGAATGAAATTTTGACACATGCCACAATGAATGAACCTTGAGAACATTAAGCTAAATGAAACAAACCAATCTCAAAAGAACAAATACTGTTTATTTAGCCCTGGCCGGTGTGGCTCAATGGCTGGAGCATCGGCTCCCGCACCAAAGAGTTGCAGGTTCAATTCTCAGTCAAGGGCACATACCTAGGTTGTGAGTTCACTCCCCACCCCCGGTTGGGGCACATATGAGAGGCAACAAGTTGATATGTCTCTCTCACATCAATGTCTCTCTCTCTCCCTCCCTTCTGCTCTCTCTGAAAAGCAATGGAAAATACCCTAATGTGAGGATTAACAACAAAAAAATACTATATAATTACACTTATATGAGGTACCTACAGCAGTCAAACTCAGAGAGGCAGAAAGTAAATGGTGGTTGCCAGGAGATGGAAGGAGGAAAAGGTAAGTAATTGTTTATTTTATTTCATTTTTTAACTAGAGGCCCGGTGCACAAATTCATGCACGGGTGGGGTCCCTAGGCCTGGCCAGCAATCGGGGCTAATTGGGGCCAACTCGCTCAGTCCGGATCAGGGCCGATGGGGACCAGCCAGCCGGGGAGGGATCACGGGAGGTTGGCCAGCCAGCTGGGGAGGAACCATGGGAGGGCTCCAGGGTGTGTCCAGCCCTCTCGCCCAGTCCCAATCAGCGGGACCCCAGCAGCAAGCTAACCTACTGGTTGGAGCGTCTGCCCCCTGGTGGTCAGTGCATGTCATAGCAACTGGTCGAGCAGTCGACCAAACAGTCGACCAATCAGTCAGACACTTAGCAAATTATGCTTTTATTATATAGGATATGTTTTTATTGATTGCAGAGAGAAAAAGGGAGAGAAAGAAATAGAAACATCAATGATGAGAGAAAATCACTGGTTGGCTAACTCCTGCATGCCCCCTATGCGAATGGAGCCCACATCCTGGGCATGTGCCCTGATCTGGAATAGAACCACAACCTCCTGGTTCATAGGTCGACACTCAACCACTGACCCACAAAGGCTGGGCAACTTATTGTTTTAATAGCTACAGAGTTTCAGTTTTTTTAGATGAAAAGTTCTGTAGATGGATGGTGATGATAGTAGCAAAACAATGTGAATGCCACTAAACTGTACAATTAAAAATGGTTAAGGGAGAACCAAGATGGCGATGTAGGTAAACACCTTACTCGCTGACTCCAACAACCACATCAAAATTACAACTAAAATACAGACAACCATCATCCAGAACCACTTGAAAGCTAGCTGAATAGAAGTCCTACAACTAGAGAAGTGAAGAAGAAAGCACACTGAGACTGGTAGGAGGGGCAGAGGCACGGACCAGGCTGGACCGGCACCCGTGTGTGCAGTTTTTTTAATCAGGAAGGAAATGTCCTCTGTGGAGGCCCTCCGTGAGGAGCAAGGGGTCCCATGCCCACACTAGATCCCCAACCCAGGCTCCCAAAGCTAGGAAATGAAGTCCCCATAACTAAGGGCTGTCAAAACCAGCGGGGATTGTGGTTGAGTGACATGGAGGCTGCTGGAGACCCAGATGTTCCTCTTAAAGGGCCAGCACATAAACTAAACTTACAAGGTCCTACTTCCTCTGAGCTCTAGTGCCAATGTGAATCCCCGGGGCACCAGACACTTATGAATAGGAATTGGATTATCTGGCATCAAGGCAGGAACTCGGGAGTGGCTTTCTCCCAGATGGAGGTGCTCCCAGGGGTCATTATTCCTATGCTGGGACCTCCCCTTTTGCAGGGCTGATTGGCAGCCATTTCTGTTTGCTCTGCCCTGGTGATTCCCTGAGACCCCACCCCATCCAATTTGCAGCCCCACCCATGCTCTTTGCAGCAGCTTTTGCATATGAATGGCCTGTCCTTGCTCAGGCTTCAGACTTCGCTAAAATCTCTCAAACAAGCTGTAGCTGGGTCAAGGAGCCCCAAATCTATCAATAAAAGGCCTGAGACCTGGCACTAGTACCAGCCTGCCTTGCTTTACAGCTAAGCCTTGCCTGGGCACTTCCAAGCCCGATACAAATAGGAGGAATCTGCAGATCTCTCTGTAGCTCCTGCTGGGTGGCCTCAGGCAGTGGCTGACTTTGCACCTCCTTGGAGACACAAGAGCTAGTGCACCCAGTGGTCATCATCAGACCATATCAGATTATAGCTCTACATATCTATAAGTGACCACTCAAGTGGCAGACCTAGTGAACACCAAAGTCCCACTGAAGCAAGTCCTGCTCTATAGGGGTGTCTCCTGCACAGCAGTTCTCGCACTGTAGTCGCAGCTGGTCTTCACAGTCAATTGGCCTAGAGGTCAATTCCTCCCAGTGACACCAACAGCAATCAAGTCTCAACTACAACAAGACTGTGCACACAGCCCACAAAGGGGGGCGCCTAGAGTGCCCAGCTCAGGTGACTGGGGAGGCTAAGCCACTAGGCCCTATAGGACACCTACTACACAAGGCCACTCTACCTACTCAAGGAGACATAGCAGCTCTACCAATACATAGAAACAAATACAGGGAAGCAGGCAAAATGTGGAGACAAAGAAACATGTAACAAATGAAAGAAATGGAAGAAAGCAAACTACTGGATATAGAGTTCAAAACCATGGTTATAAGGTTACTCAAGAATCTTCATGAGACCATCAGGGATTTGGTGAGATTTTCAAGGATCTTAGTGAGAATGCCAATTCTATGCAATGTGAAAATCCTCCATTTCCAGACATGCAATAACAGAAGTGATGTCATGGTGGGAATATAAGGAAAAGTGAAAACATGACCTAGTTATTGATCAATCCACAGATACAGGTTTCCTATCTCTGTCAACAGGTGGGATCAACATTTTGGTAGGAGTCTAAATTAGGTATAGTGAATAACATTTTATTCAACTTTTCCCACTCTGGAGAGCTTATGCATGTGACTTAGCAATACTCAAATGTCATCAATGGAAAGTCATGTCATAGATAAGTCCCTAAGTCCCTAAGACCATTTTAACATGATACTCAGGAGATGCCAGAATGTTAACCAGTACATATAACATAATACTGATATATGATAATTAAAAGAATATCTCATTTCATAAATAGCCTACTATACTCAGTAATTCCTAATGACTTTCTCTTATTAAAATACAATCCCAAACAAAATGTATTAGAGCCTGTGAAATCTTTTCTTCCCCAAAACGCTGTGTGGTATGTGTTCTTTTCCTTATATTTAATGGCCTAAAAGTAAGTGGTTTGACTAAAGAGACAAAATAATTAAATGTAATACATGATCCTTAATTGGATCCCAGATCGAAAAATGAAATAAAAACCTGCAACAAAGGACATTAATAAAGCAATTTAAATATGAAATATGTTTAAAAATGCCATCAACACTAAATTTCTAGAAAAATTAAGTGATTTAGGACAGATTTTTGAATTTTATACAACATTGGACCTCTAGATAATCTAGAGAGATTCAAGCCTCATGAAATCAGAAAATATTATTGTATAACAATTAATGCCAAGCAAGCTTATTTCTTTTTAATATCAAATAAATCATCCAAATTATAAAAGGTACCAAAATACTCTGCAACACTTCAAATCTTATTTAAAAACAGGACTTAGAAAAATTACTGAAAAAAAGAAATTGTGTTTTGTTCTAGTTTGATTCTATATATATTTATAAATCTAGAAAGTTGACTTAATTTTAGGGATATTTTGGATAAACTGATAATCATATAAGCTTACCTTAACTCTCTGTAGGAAAACTGTAAACTTAAAGAAAATATCCTTTAGCAGATCAAACCACTGAGGAAAATTCAACATTCTCATCTGATCTGCGAGCCTAAAAAAAAAAGAAATCAAACAAAAATAATGATTGTCTTTGGGTCAAATGATATATGAAATAAACGTACGAATTAAAGGAAACTATACTAAATTCTAGTATAGTTTTTATACTAGTATACTAAATACTAGCTAGTAACATAAGAATTATGTAATTTCATCTAGATACCTTATATCAAAAAATTGAGTTGGGGTCAATTACCAACCAACTCCTGCTTGGTTAAATATCTTTAAGACTAATCTAGTCAAGTATACTGACTTATGAATCTTACAAAATAATTCCATGTGAGCATGATTCGTGACCATTGGGTGAAAAGCCAGAGAGAGATAAACCAATTTTGGTTTAAGGTGGAGAAGAAATATTCTGAAATAAGTAAAAATAGGAATATAACATCTCCCTTAATAACTTAATAACCTACTTTTCTAATTACAAGCTAAAAAGTACTTTTCCATATATGGCATGGTGGCTAAGAGCATGAGCTCTGGGCCCACAATGCCTTGGATCAAATTCCAGCCCTGCCATTTACTAGCTGTATGACTTTGGACAAGTGACTTAACCCCTGCATGCTCTCATTTTCTCACCTTAACATGGGTGAAAGTAACAGAACTTACCTTGTATGATTGCTATGAATATTAACTGAGTTAATAAGAAGTACATAGAATAATTCATGGTGCATAAAAAGTTCTATGTATTGACCAGTATGGTATCAGTATACATATATATGAGTCATTATATATCGTATTAGTATAATATATAATAGTATAGCCAATATTTTATAGCTGACAACAATCAATAACTTCAAGATAAAAAGTTAATGCAAAACAGTGCCATAAAAATATTTTATAGTATTACAATGACATTACACTAAATTTTTAATGAATGCTGCTACAGCTAAGAGTTTATTTTCCAAAGATACTCCTATACTTGAGATACAGGAAGTTCTTTATTTGAGGAAATATCCTAGGGAAGAAAAAAATTAAAAATAACTGACTCTCCATTTCTATAGGGCTTTTAAAAGAGTCCCAATAACTTAACTTTTCTAACTACTGCACTAGTGATTCCTGCAGTATTAGGGCTGCTCCAACTAACTCTGAAACTGAGTTTTCACTAGGTAATGGTATGTAAATTAAAACTCCACATCCTCATTCTATGAGTCTGACCTAGAGGAGTTTCACATTTGTCCATACTGTTAGTCATATTTTAGGCCAGTCAATAAAGTTTATCTATTTGAATGAGAAATTCATAGGTCATAAAATATTTATCACTATTCTCAAAATAAAAGAATAGGGATTACAATGGTGAAAATAAAGTTATAGATATGGGCAATTCAAAATCATGTACTCAACTTTTCAAAGCCAATTAGAAGCTGGGTTTAATTATTTGGGCAACTAATTTAAATTTTACACTGATATCCTCTGAAATGGATTATCTTCAATTTCCCCCCTCCATATCTACATTGTATCCTCTCTAACCTCTGTCTGCCCTGGGAGGCTGATCTGCTGGGCTTGGTCCTTTACAAAAGATTGGAAGGAAGAGCCCTGGCCAATGTATGTCAGTTGACTGGGCGTAGTACTGAGCACTGAAAGATTGCAGGTTTGATTCCTGGTCAGGGCACAGGCCCAGGTTGTGGGCTCAATCCCCTTGTAGTGGGTGTGCAGGAGGCAGCTGATCAATGTTTTGCTCTCACATGGATGTTTCTCTCCCTCTCTCTCTCCCTTACTTACTCTCTCTTAAAAAAAAAACCCCAAAACAATCAATAAAAATTGTTTAAAAAGACAGGAAGGACAAAAGGTGCTCATAACTCCATCTCCTCTCCTTGAGGGGTTACCTCCAGATGACTGCCTCCCTCCAGTGAAGATAATTTCAACTACTGAATGTCTTTTTTTTCCCTACCACTACATATCTTTCTCCTTTTGAATTCTATTAACTGCTCTCTTCCCTTAATAGAATTCAGAAGGAATTCTGTGACTGATATTTATACTTACTTCGTAACAGCATCTGTGTCTAGTTCTTCTATTTGTGAAACTTTATTAATCACACACTGCAAAATTTAAAAAAAAATGTGATTAATGTGAATTCTAAGTACTGTACGTATATTTAAAAGGGCTTCAATGGGTAGAAATGAAAAAAAATTTAAAAAGTGTTACTTTGAAAATACATCTTAAAATTAAATGAAAGTAAAAAGGCCTCAAAGATTCTGATAATTATCTTACCAGACTCCTCTTGTGTCTCTTATACATACCTCAAGGTGTTTAAAAAACTTCAGCATTACCATTACCCTATTAAATAATTATTCCAGGGTAGCTTAAACTGTATTAATTAAAATCTCCTACTATTTAAAACTATTCAAAACATAAAAGAACACAGAATTATAATACTTAGGAACAAGATATAAACCCCGTATTAAAACCCCAAATAAAATATGACTAATTTCTGTATGCTAATTTTGTATCCCACTATTTTAGTGAATTTCTTTATTAATTCTATTATCTTTTAGTTGGATTCTTTAGGGTTTTCTATATATAGTATCATGTCATCTGCAAATAGTGACAGTTTTACTTCTTCCTTTCCAATTTGGAGCCTTTTATTTATTTTTCTTGTCTGATTGCTGTGGCAAGGGCTTCCAGTATTATGTTGTAATAGTGGTGAGAGTGGGCATCCTTGTCTTATTCCTGATCTTAGAGGAAAAGCTTTTAGCTTTTCACCATAAGGTATGATGTTAGCTGTGTGCTTGTCATATAGAGCCTTCACCAAGTTGAGGTAAGATCTTTCTATACCCACTTTGTTGAGAGTTATCATAAATGGATGTGGAATTTTGTCAAGTGCTTTTTCTGCATCTATTGAGATAATCATAGGATTTTTATCCTTGGTTTTGTTGATGTGATGAATCACGTTGTTTTTTGGATGTTGAACCACACTTGTATCCCTGGTATAAATCCTATTTGATCATGTAGTATAATCCTTTAATGTACTGTTGAATTCAGTTTGCTAGTATTCTGCTGACAATTTTGTTCATCAGGAATGTCAATAGATGAATGGCTAAAGATGTGTGACACACACATACGTAGTATTGTATAATGTGTATATACACACACACAGTGGAATATTATGCGGCAATAAAAAAGAATGAAATCTTGCCATTTGCAAGAACATGGATGGATCTAGAGGGTATTGTGCTAAGTGAAATAACACAAATATGGTATAGTTTCACTTATGTGTGGAATCTAAAAACAACAACAAATGAACAAACAAAACAAAAATAGATTTATAGAAACAGAGACTAAAGGGATGATTACCAGAAGTGAGTAGATGCGTGAAAAGGGGAAAAGGAATACAGTCTGTAATATTGTGATAAGTTTGCACAGGGAAGATGATTACTATAATCAGTGGGGTGATCACATTATAAGATATAAAAATGTTGAAACTAATATAACCAATATAATATTGTTTACCAACTAGAATTAAGTTTTAAAAAAATGTAATTCCAAAAGAAATTTATTTTGGAAGCTACATTTTCTTTTTCTTTTTTTAAATATATTTTTATTGATTTCAGAGAGGAAGGGGGGGAGAGAGAGAGAGAAAGATAGAAACATCAATGATAAGAAAGAATCATTGATCGACTGCCTCTTGCACACCCACCACTGGGGATCTAGCTCGCAACCCAGGCATGTGCCCTTGACCGGAATTGAACCTGGGACCCTTAGGCCCCCAGGCCGATACTCTATCCACTGAGCCAAACCAGCTAGAGCAGAAGTTACATATTCTTGCAATACATGCAACAGTTTAAAGTTGAAAAAAAAAATGCTTAGACTTCAAGAGAAGTCTGGGAATTAAAACAGCAGTTTAAAAAACTTATTTAAAAGCATAGTATTCTTACAGAAAATTGTACAAATTATGTTTATTGCTCAATATTTTTTCACAATGGAATACACCTGTGTAACCAGAACTCAGATCATGAAACTGAACACTGTCAGTAAGCCATTCTCCTGCTCTCCTCCAAGTAACTGTTTCCTCCCAAAAGTCACTCCTATCCTGATTCCTAAAACAATAGATGTTTGAATCAAGTGAGTGGAATCATACAGTGTATATTCCTTGGTGTCTAGTTTATTTGGCTACACATTATGTATGTGATATTCATGCACATTGTTGTATGTAATTTATTCATTCTCATTGGTGTATAGTATTCAATTATATAAATATACCATAATTCTATTTATCTTTTCTACTGATGACAGAATTTTTTTCCATTTTTTTAATATAAATAGTGCTACAATGAAATTCTTGTTGTGTCTTCGGTGAGCTTATGTATGCATTTTTGTCAGGTAAATACTTTGAAGTAGAACTGCTGAGTCATAAGTGTATATTTAGCACTAGCAGATAGTGCCAACAATTTTTTAAAGTGGTTTTAACTATTTTAAAATAGTGTTTCAGCCAGTGTTTGAAAGAGGTAAAAGATGGGGTGACTATAATTTTTTATTTGATTTTATTTAAACATTAAAAACTTGGTATTGTACATTCAACTTCATGATGGTCAATTAAGCCTAGTAAACACATTTTAAATTGTTGTTTTTTTTTATACAGAAAAACTGAAGTTCAGTAAATAAGATTTATCTGAGTAAAAAAAGCCAAAACAGAGATCAGGAAAGACTAAAAAAAAACACATGGATTTCAGTTTACAATTATGATTTCTTAGAGATCAAATGTAAGATGAAATGAACATTTATCTACTGCTGGTGACAGTATATACTGTTAATTTTTAAAAATTTTAAAATTGGTCACTTTCTGACCAATAATTCCACTTTCAGAAATCAGTTATAAGGAAATAGTCTTATATAAAACCAAACAAACAAAACTGTATACCAGACACTTGTCACAATGTTCTTAACAGTACCAAACTGAAAACAACTTGCATATGCAGCATAAAGAAAATGTTAAGTTTAACATAATATTGATGAAATTTTATACAATCACTAAAAATCTAACTGAAATATATTAACAAATAAAAATATATATAGGATGATAATAATTAAAAACATCAGTAACAATTTATACTTGTAAATATTATTATAATATTTTAGCTGATAGGGCTATGTTCTACTTTTCTACATTTTCAGCTTTTAAATAAATGAAAAAATATTACTATTATACTATATATATTATTTCTAGGATCATGTAAAAACAAACTTCACAAAAGATTCTAGAACAAAATATATCAAATAAAAAATGTATAATTACCTGTTTAATGATATTCTTTGCCGTAATAATCATTTCTTCACTATAGATTTCTAAAAAATTAAGTTTTCTTTGTTTTAAAAGTCCAAATACAAGAGATACTAGTCTTTCCTATCAAAATAAAAGAAGAGTGTGTAACTTCACACTTTAAATACCAAATAATCTTAGAGATAGAAATATTAAACACCAAGGGTTTTATTTTTAGATGCTCAGAAACCTATACTACACATGGTATTTTTTAGAAGCCTGGAAAAAAAAAACAAAAAACCCTTCTACTGCAATCTGGTCATCAGATTTTTGGAGTCAGTGTTCTAAAACAAATAAATCCTATTCCATAAGAGTGGATCAAATGAAGCTGGTTTAAGGGCAAGACAATACAAAAATGTATTTTAGCCTAGTTTCAAGTAGCTAGAAAATACCCTTCTTAAACCCTGATGACTAACAATACTCCGTGATCCATGTGCTTTTTAATTAGTGGTCTAGAAGACTGGAATGATGACCTGGACTATCTGTGGAGAATTAACTGCTAACAGGTACAAATAGCTCTTAACTACTTAGACTGCTATCTGGGCTTTTTGGAACTTTACTAGTTCTTAGCATTAATTAGCATTGAGAAGTTACCAGATAAGTAAAGCCTGGATATGATGTATTTGTATATGCATGTGCATAAAACATGTTCATAATAGGTGCTCAGTGAATGTGAATGACTAATGAGTTATCATATAAGAATAATCACTTTTTAAAGAGATATACTCCAGTACATGCATATACATGGATATACGTTAATTTGTCCATATCTACATTTTGAATTTGATTTATAATCTATATAGAGACCTCATTTTAACTCCAATTTCTAATTAAGCTATAAAATTATTTTATTCTCTAATTTCACAGGATAATAAACAATTATGGTACTTGCTAAAATCACATGTGAAGTACTTTATAGGTCTAATAAAACTTGAAATTTAGTGTAATTTTGTTCACTATAATCTGAGAAGAATGTGTTCTAAACTAAGGATTTTAGGAATTAGCACCAAGCAATGATATAAATTTCATTCCAGTGCTTTAAAACCATACCTCTTCTAAAATTTGACAGTCATCTTCCAGTGGTCTATTTAAGTCACTGTGACAATAAGTAGAAAATTCTGCAATCATCATTTTATCTATCAGTTTTTCTAATTCACAAAGCTGTGATCCCAAATGCCTACAAAGGAAGAAGAAAATGTTACATATGAAAAATCCAAATTCACTCCACGATTAAGGGAACTATAGGCAAAACTTTTCTGACAGTACTTGTGCAATAATGTGATGCTTTAGTAAAATGGAGTCCTTTAACTTAACAAAAATAACTGCAACAGTTTCACATCACCTCCCAAATTCTATTTTTCTTTTTAACTTCCAGTTAAATGTTATAGGAAACCTGGTTCTAGAAATTCCGTGACTGTTTTTTTGTCTGCTTTTACAGATAAAATATTCAGATATTCTGAGTCCTTTCTTCACTAATCATTTACTGCAGGGGTGGGGAACCTTTTTTCTGCCAAGGGCCATTTGGATATTTATAATACCGTTCTTGGGCCATACAAAAGTATCAACTTAAAAATTAGCCTGCTATATTTGGTCAAACATTTAATTAACTCACTTCTAATGCTTTGCAGGGCCATTCCAAATGATTTTGCAGGTCTTATATGGCCCATGGGCTGGACATTCTCCACCCCTGACTGAACATCAATGCCAGTAGCTCCCAAGCCATTCATTTATTTAACAAATACAAGCACCTACTATGTGCCAGGTCCTGCTCTGGGTACATATAAATATCTGAAGGACTATCAGGACAGATTGACTCAATTCAATCTCTGTCATCATCAGTTTGAGTTACTGTGCAATATCCCTCAGGTCCAAAGAGAATTATTTCAACTGACTTTAAAACAGTAATTTATCCATTCATCCACAAAGAATATATCTTAAGGAAAAGAAATCCTACATTACAAAAGTAATCATATTGTTAGTTCTGAGAGCATTCTATTTATATTGTAGGATAAAACAAATGAGTAATTATGTTGACATCATTAGGAACTACAGTTTTCAGCCTGTTCAAAAGGATATGAGTAAGACTGAAGTAAAAACTCTACAGTCCTGAATTTAATTGAAACTATCAATATAAACTCATATTTTTTTTATAAAGGGAAAATTATTCTTTAGCTCTTTCCACTACAAATTACCTCTGGTACCTAGGCTGTAATTTTAAAATACCATTTCCTACTAAGAGAAACTAGAGCTCTTTAGAAAAATGGCAGATTACAAGTCTGGGGCAGAAAATACGTAGGAGTATCTTGTCATAACACAAAGTAAGAAAACAATCAATGACTACTCATGGAATCATGTCTCAATAATGAATTGGAGGAGGTTCCTACAAAAGATAGGACAATTTGAACATTGATAAAAATAAAAACAGCAAAGAACTTAAACACTTCAAATATATATAAATTCCATGTGTTTATAAAAATATTTTTAAAAACTCATCAGTCACCTTTGGAAGATGCTGGATTTTCAAATCACTATTTTTTAAAAGTTCTAAATAAGGGAAAAGAATCTAGAATTTATTCTGCCTACACTTATAAGAAATGTCCTTCAGAGTTATCAAATAATTGTTACGTAGAAACACTGATTTAAGGAAATATTCCAGTTAGTAAATTAATAAAGAAGTATAGAATTAGAATATCATGATTGGAACCCATAATAGATTAGTCTAGGCAATAAACATCAAATGGCTGCTAGTTTCACAAAAAGAGAGACAACCAGATATATGCATCTTGACTGAAATATACACCACTACCTATTAGATACTCTTGACGAAAAGTAAAACTTAAATCTGGTCAAGACTTTAAATCTAACTACCAGTTTATAAAAATTATAGGCAAAAGAAAAACACGCTAAACATGAGGGTGTAGTTGGCAAAACCCAGACTCTCAGAAGGCTCTAAAAGACAACTAACTCAATTTCTTCAATAAATATTTTGAAAGGAAGAATACAAGAAGAATGAGGAACTATAAATCAAGACACTTGAAATATATCAACCAACTGCAATGCATAGATAATATCTGGATATTTTTTTCAAGAAAAACTATAAAAATGAATTTTGAGATAAACAGGAAAATCTGAACATTCACTAGATATTTGAAAGTATAAATGATATTAGAGTTATGTTTTTTAAAATCTTTTTCTTTCAAAGATATATCATGAAATATTTATGGGAGAAAGGAAATGATGTTTTAAATTTGTTTCCAATACAGGAGTAGGTGGAGGGACATAGAGAAAAAAAGTTGGCTGTGAGTTTGTAACTCACGTGCGATGCACAATTTATCTAGATTCATACAACTCTCGTCATATAATTTCTTCTACTTTTTAATATGTCTGAGTTTTCAGTAAGTTTTAAAAAGTACTAACAGAGCAGGATATAAATCTACCCATAATTTTACTATTGCTTGGTTCTTAAATTTTATGAAAATCAGATTTCTTTTTAAGGCACACTTGAGGTTACACTCAGGTATGTGTTATATTCAGGTATGAATGGTCTTCAACAAATTCCAACAAAGAATTATGGTGACAAGTCAATATGATTATATCTACTGATGTTTGGGCATCAAAATAAAACTCTAATTTCAGCATAATAACTTATAAGTGAGGTTCTATTTGACCTCACATATTGTCTTAATTAAGTAGCTTCATTTTTATGCATTCTTTAACTACTTTCAAAGTCTGATAACTATAATTTTAAAAAGGCAGATATGAATTTTAATGCTAACATCAATAGTACATAATCACAGGTACATGATATATACACAAAGATTTGTCTAAACAAATCCTTAAACAAAACTTTCAGGATTAAGATGTTCTACAAGATTCACCTATTAATCCTTGCTCTAATTGTTTTTTATATTCTTGACTGCTTTGAGAATAGATATCATAATAATGGTCTGCACATTATTAACCTTATAAAAATATTTAAGATAAATCTGTAAACAATTCATTTTAAAAGTATGTATGCTGTCTGTATATAAGCTCGGCCTCTACAGATTCTGCCCCTATCCTCTTTTCTGGGTGTTTGTTGTTTGCATTTATTGGTTTATCTGTTTGTTTTGTGGTGTTTTCTCAACATATATATATTTTTTTCTTTTTTCTTCCTTTTTCTTCTTTTTCTTTTCTCTCCTCAATATAATTTGTGCTCTTTTTACTCTCCCCTAATTCTCTTTTCTCTGATGGTCACTTATATTGGTGTTATCGGTGTCGTGAGCACATTCGTGTTTTGTTTGCTTTGTGTCATGCCTTGTTGAGTTGCATTTTGTCCTGTTTGGTCAATGTGGTAGAGAGCGAGCCACATAACCAGACACCTGGAGAGGAGACGCCATCCACAAATGGGTCAGTAACACTCTAGACCCAACTACAGAGGCAGGAAGATGGCGGCCGGAAAGACGGCAGTAAGGGAGAAAGCTTGAGTGAGTGAGGGAGCGAAAGGGGACTGTGTGGAAGTATGGTGTGTGTGTGTGTGTGTGTGTGTATACGTGAGTGAGGGACAGTTAGATCCCGCAGGACCTTCAGGGGCTGGCGTACCGGGCTCGCCTAGCCAGGCAGCCTCTGCTACCATTGCAGAGTCCTAGGGCAGCCAGCTCTACCACAGAGGCCATGCCATCTTGAAAGGGTGAGCTGCTGTGTCTGGGAGCCCACCACTGCTGCGAGCAGCCACATGAGCAGTGCGCATCCGAAAAGCTGCCACCAACTGAGGAGCAGCTGCTGCCACTCGAGGAGCAGCCATTGCCTGAGTAGCCACTGCTGCCTGAGGAGCAGCCACCACCGGAGTAGCCACCGCTGCCCGAGGAGCAGCCCCCACATGACTCAACACCTAGATCCTTCGGTGAGAGAAAAAATGGGGAGACAAAAAAAACCCTAAAGGAAAGAAAAGGGAAAATCACCAGAAAAGCTAAGTGAAACGAAGGCATGCGATGTGTCAGGAAAAGAATTCAGAATAAGGGTCATATAGTTCAAAAACTGGGATGGATGAAAAAAATCAACAACTTATGTAAGAATCAAGAGGAAACAGAGTGATATAGTTACAATAAAAAACACTATGGAAAGTTTCAACAGTAGACTAGGAGAAGCAGAGGACTGAATTAGCGAATTAGAAGACAGGGCAGCAAAAGACACCCAAACTGAACTGCAATTGGAGAAAAAAATTGAAAGACAGAAGGAGAGCCTAAGGAAGCTTTGGGACAACACGAAACAAAACAACATCCATATAACAGGGGTGCCAGAACGACAAGAAGAGGAACAAGGGTTAGAAAACCAATTTGAAGAAATAATGTCAGAAAACTTCCCTGATTTGGGGAAGAAAAAAGTTCTCCATGATGCACACTGACCACCAGGGTTTCAGTGGTTCTCAACCTTCCTAATGCTGCGACCCTTTAATACAGTTCCTCATGTTGTGGTGACCCCCAACCATAAAATTATTTTCGTTGCTACTTCATAACTGTAATTTTGCTACTGTTATGAATCGTAATGTAAATATCTGATATGCAGGATGTATTTTCATTGTTACAAATTGAACATAATTAAAGCATAGTGATTAATTACAAAAACAATATGTAATTATATATGTGTTTTCCGATGGTCTTAGGCGACCCCTGTGAAAGGGTCGTTCGACCCTCAAAGGGGTCGCGACCCACAGGTTGAGAACCGCTGCTCTAGACAAAAGTCAGCAAAGAAACAGCAATCCTAAATGATTCACTAAATCAGATGGACTTAATTGACATCTTTAGAACATTTCACCCCAAAGCCACGGAATATACGTTTTTCTCAAGTGCACGTGGGACATTTTCAAAGATAGACCACCTATTGGGTCACAGGCAAAGTCTTTCTAAATTCAGGAAGATTGAAATCATATCAAGCATCTTCTCAGACCACAATGGCATAATATTAGAAATAAACTACAATTAAAACAATAAAAAAAATTCAAACACTTGGAAGCTGAATAGCATGCTATTAAACAATGACTGGGTTACCAAAGAGATCAAAGAAGAAATTAAAAACATCCTGGAAACAAATGACAATGAAAACACAACAATCCAAAATCTATGGGACACAGTGAAAACAGTCCGGAGAGGGAAGTTTATAGCTCTACAGGCCTACCTCAAAAAAAAAAAGAAAAAATAG